GCAACGCACCTTCTTCTGGAAAACGCGTACGAAAGCAACCTATTGTCAGACATTTCCAAGGTAGACTATCTGGCCGGGAACCTCGGTTGCACGAATTTGCGCCCGTTGGAGGGTCTCCCGGCGTTCGTAGACGATATATTCGTATTTGGCTACCTTTCTCGAGAGGAGTGTGTCTTCCAGAAAGGAAAACTCTCTTGCACGAGTGGGGAGAAGGGGGCGGCAAAACTAGTAGTGGCAAGTATCGGGAATGCTTTGGAAAGAGCCCTGGGGAAACGAGGCTACATGCAGACGGCCCTTGTGCACACGGTCGCGGCTGGAGACGCGAGAAGCAGCACAATTCAAGCAACAATTGCGAAAATCGAGAGAGACACGCTCCACAAGGCGAACAGAAAATGGAAAGAAATCCACCCGCAAAAAGAGATTGCCGGGTATTTCGTGGCGAAATGCGATGTTTCCGAAGTCCCTCTGGAGGAGATGCACAGCGGTCTACATGTTTTCGAAAAATGCCTGGAGGGCTATGGCTACGGAATCTACAGCATCGACTACAAACAGGATTTTTCTGGAGTTCTGGACCGCAAAGCGCTTGTGGGCAACCTTGGTTTTCGAAAGGCGGGGGATTTCTGCACGGCAATCGACGAAAAAGAGCCGACAATTCTAGAAAACACAAACACGGTCGAGGAGCACGTCTGCACCTGGATATCCACAACCGCGGAAGGGCGCACAGCCCGCACAAAAATATACAACAAAGTCGTGTCGAATTTCGAGGCAGAAGAAATCCGCGAACCTGTTGGCGGCCATCTGGCAGACTACGCTGACTGCCCCAACCCACACCTCCGCCAAACCTTCCTACACCCGGACGTGCAAGCCCGAGGGTGCACGCGCATCGAAGTCTCTCTGTACGCATGCCCGCAAAACGAACTTTCGAGCGAGAAAGCCACAGACCACATCGAGAAAGTCTTGGAGCAAGTTTCCACCGAAGACGAGGAGGACGGCCTCTTCGTGGTCCAACCCCCCAACAAACAGTGGCAAAACCTCGCCGAAAGCCTGGATCGGTGTCTGGTTCTCGCAGACAGACCGCAAGGACATATTTTTGTTGGCTGTTACACGCACGCAGGGACAGGAAGAATTTCGGGAATCCACGTACACCCCACACCAGCGAAAGTGCGAGACGAAGTAAAGTGGGAAAAAGCTATCTTGTGGGCAGCGGGGGACTTCGGCTTCCGGAATTGTCCAATTTTTCGGGTAGACATCCTAGCCGCAGACGAAGAAGGGGTGGAGCTAGGCCCGCTCCGTTGCTACACGAAAGACGAAAACGCTCGCACAATTCTCGCCGCGAGCAAAAAACCAACACAGCTCCACCCAAACGGGGGCGACCCGTCGGCGCTTCTACCGCCAACAGGCAAAATTGTGTCAGAACGGCGGGACAAAAAATGCCACGCAATCGGCAACGATTCTTCGAAATACAAGCTCCAAGAAATACAAGAAATCGCAGAACAGCGCAAAATATCCGCACTTTCGACAAGAAACAGAGAAAAAGCTCTTGCAGAGCTTCGGTACGCCAGCACAGTCGAGGAGTGGAAACGAGTGAATTGGTAAAGAGGAGAAAAACAGCGGAAATAAGAGGAGGAAGCGACAAAGGCTCGAGAAGCGAAAATTGCCAACCTGCGAAAGTACGCCGAGGCGAAGAAAAAAATCGAAGCAAAAAGCTGGGAGATTCGTGCAACAGTGATTGGCACTCTGTGTGGGGGGACAAAAAAAGTTGCGGAATTTCCAGCAGGCAGAAAATGGGATGTCCTAGGTTTTCGAGGCAAAGAAGACAAAGTCCGGGTTGTATTGCGGCGTGGAAAAGAAGCGGCAGTTGCTGTTTGGGCAACAAAAGGTTTGCGAAAAATCCTTCTAGAGTGTGTGGACCGCTTCCGTTCGGACGAAAAAGACAACTTGGGTCGGCAGCTTTTCTGGCTAGAGTCTTCCTCTGGTTTCGAAAAACTTGGAGGGTTGGAGTTGCACATCGAGCCTTCGAGAAGTTTCCAAAACTGGGAAGGAAAAACCATCGTGTGGAACCCCATCCAAGTGGTATCCGCGCCAGACAGCGGGAGACTTGCATTCTTGCGGGATCTAGGATCCAAATTCGAGGAGTACGAAGCCCTTCGTGGGGAATTGGCCAAAAACTGTCTGCAGAAAATTTCCGCACCGGGAAACAAAACGACGAAAAAAACAATAGACTTGCCGGAAGGGGAGTACATATGCAAACGTTTCGCTA